CAACAACAACAACAACAACAACAACAACAACAACAACAACAACAACACCAACAATAATAATAATACAAAACTAATGTAAGATAAACTAGAGAAATTGCATTTCCTGCAAAAATGCAGTATGAACGCTCATTGCTGAACTTGCTGAAAAACAGCTGAAATGTAGCTGAAATGGAAGAACAAGCCTAAGTTAGCAAAAGAAAACGGATAAATAAGCAGAGATGAGCACAAAAATTAGGAATTCAGCTAAAATGCTGGAATTAGCAAAAGAATAGCTGAAAAGTAGATGAAAAAGCTGAAAGATGCTTAAACTGCCAGAAAGAAGTGGAAGGAGATGACATGAGCTAAAAAAAAAAATTGGAATCAGCTGGAAAAGCTAAATTTAGCTTAAAAAACAGCTAAAAGTAGTTGAAGTAGCAGAAAAGGCTGAAATGAGCACAACAAGCTAAAATTAGCAGAAATTATCACGAAAAACTTGAATTAATCTGAAAACAGTTGAAATTAGCTAAAAATGCTACAAAAAAGCAGCTGAAGAGGTAGAACAAGCTGAGATTTAAAAAGAAAGCAGAAAGAACATATTTGCTTAAAAAAGCAGAAAAGAGCACAAAAAAGTAGAAATTTGAAAAAATCTGAAATTAGCAAAAGAAAACAGCAGAAAAATAGTTTAAAATGTAGAAAGAAGCTAAAATTACAAGAAGGGGTGAGAGCACATTTTTGCTGAATTAGTCTGAAAAAAGTAGAATTGAGTGCAAAAAATGTGGAATTAGCTGAAAAAGCTTAAATTAGCATTAAAATGCTAAATAGTAGCTGAATTAGTAGGAAAAAGCTGAAACTAGCAGAAATAAGCTTAAAGGAGCACAACAAGCTGAAATTAGCAGAAAGAAGTGAGAAGGAGCACAAAAAGGTTGTACTGTTCCGGTAGTTAGAAAAAATCTGAAAGGGGCACAAAACAGCTGAAATGAGCTGAAAATAGCTGAAAAAAAGTTTAAATTTGCAGAAGGAAGCTGAAAGAAGCTGAACCAGAACAAAATGTGAAAGGAACAGTAAAATGTTGTAAACAGATATAAACATTTGAAGGAAGTAAAATGAACTCAATTCATTTTCTATGAGGAAAAAAAAAAGTGGCAGAAAAGGCTAAATATTTCAAAAAGCTAAAGTTGCACCAATACCAAAAGTCATAGCAGGATTGTCCTGAAAGTGATGAACGTTTTGATTCATGATTTGTTGAAATAAGTTGAAAACTGCGGGACGAGAATCGCGCCCAAAAAATGTACAGAAGAAAACTGGATCACAGTAGTGTGAATGCTTCATAAACGCACAAACAGCCTTACTGCACTAAAATGATTTGTTATTGCTCACAAAATGCCAGCGGTACAAAACAAAAGGTGTGGATTTATGACGTCTGATGACAAACACCTCAAACATTCAGCACTAACCAGCGAGCAAAGTGGGGGTTCAGTGTCTTCCTAAAGACACGTCGAGCCAATAGTTGAACTAAATAATCAGATATGTGCAGGCACTAACTCAGAGCTGCACCTGTTGAGGAAAAAAACTATAATTGCAGAAACATTGCAGGAAAATAAATACATTTTAGCTCCTATCTCATTAAAATCTGTTTTCCACCAAGTGATCAACGAGTCAAGAACACGCCGTCTGATGGGCCAGTGGTGGCGAGGTGGAGGTGCCAACAACGACCGTGGTTATTGTTAAAGGAACGTTGTCTCATTTATCTTTAGAAAATGTTCCAAATTCAAGCAGCACGTCCGCCTCGTTCTGCAGCTCTCACAAGGAAACGGAGGAGTCCTGTAAAGCTGCAAGACAATCTGGAGGCTCCATCAAGTTTACTGCTTATCAGCTGCTCTCAGCTCAGTGAGACAGTCTTTAGCTAATTGAAGCCCAAGCTTTTTATAAAGGACAGCACGCTGCCTCGTCTGTTCATGTTTTAAACTAAGATCTCTGTACGATGTGAAAGGATCGAGTTATAACTGCTTTGGTCAAACACTGTTCATGACAATGTGTCTCATGCAAGATATCACGAGATGTTAGCTCTCAGATTATGTGTTGAGGATGACTGTCAGCTACTACCACACCAAACTTTAGCTCAATGTCTGTGAAACTGCCAGAGTTAAAGCCATTTTTGTGTTGGCTAAAATCAATAAGCTGTGGTGGCCATCTTGAATACTGCTGACTCCAAAAGTTAATCAGATGTAGATGCACAGTACAAATGATTGTTTTTTTGAGTTTCATTACAATCTATCCACTGGAACAAGCTATATTTTGCTAACAGACAGAGACACAGAAAAAAAAAACATTTCACCTGCAATAAAAGGCAATAATAATAATAATAATAATAATAATAATAATAATAATAAAAACGTGTCTCACCACTGCCATGGCATCAGCCTGATCATCTGCATGCTCTCGGTACTGACCCAGCATTCTGTCCACCTTGGACAAGTTCCTGCTGGTGTCCTGACACCGAGACATTTGATCAGCACATACTGCGATTCTTTACACACGAAACACATGCAGGGAAATTCATGCTCTGTAAGCATGAGTCATAAACCACAAAATAATTAA